TAATGAAATATTTTATATACTGATCAATATGAATAATAAAGGCCACTAGGATAATAGCGTCGTATTTCAAGTTCACAATATTATTAAACGTTGTAATAGTTTTAATAAAGGTTACTATGTTAAAAATAAGTTTATTGTGTTAAAAATAATGGTCACTATATTCAATATAATGTCAGTCGCGTGTGTATAGACCTCGGGTCCACAATAATATTATTGTGGACCAGGTCCACGCAAGTTTTTTTGAGTAATAAGAAGTGTGATTGAAAAAAAAAAAAGTCAAATACGTTTTTTTCTTTTTTTTTTATGTAATGAGTTTTTGAAACGTTCAAATGACAAATGTAATGCATTAGATGAAAAGTAGCAATGATAATTTTTTTATACTATTTCCTATTTCTAAATGATTACAACACTTGTTTTTTCCATTCAATTTATTAGTTATAACACTTCTTTAGTTTGTTTTTTTTTTCATTCATTTTTTTAATTAATTACAATACTTCTTTATTTGACAATGAGTTACTACTATTCTAGTATATCTCTTGCTCATTTGATCATCACCCTATGAGTTTTCTTAAATTATACTTGTATGTACAGTTCATAATTATAAAAAAAAAAAAAATCAAAGCGACTACACATCAAAACAACACTTCTTCATCCCTAAAAATCTAAATTAGTGCCCTAAATCCTCAGGTAAGTAGAAGACCCATCCTAGAAGAGATGTAAGGGAAATCCCTCATAAAATGTGCTTGGTGAGATTCGACCTCTGGCCTCACGTCTGAAAGTCGGAGAACTATCCTACTACTCTAGCCTCCTATCTCATGAAGCAATTTTTTATGAACATTAATTTTTAACATATGAGACCATCAATAATCTATTTACAGACAAAAGAGAGTATGTACTCTAGTTTGTTTTTTAAGTGACCCAATTTAATCGTTAGATTAGTCTAACATGGAACTTAACCCATAATATCTTTAATTATCAATAAATACTATTTCTGTTTTCCTTAATTCTACCCATTTACTATTCACAATATCAAAGTTAAAAGTTATATACTTCTTCCGTTTTTATTTAGTTGACACCATTTGACTTTTGCACTATTCACAAACTATACTTTGACTAACTTTTATGATCTATAGCTACGATAAAACATAATCATGTGGGATCTTGTTTGAATCATCCTAATGTATTTTATTAATATCCACTTTTTATAATTTTACAATGTTTATAATTAGAGATATTAATCGTTAAATATGTGCACTAGCAAGCGTGATAATAGAAAGATTTCAACTAAAAAAGCGGAGGTAGTATATAATATATAAAATGAAAATTTATTCAATTCATATTGTTTGCATTTTCAATGTAGGTATGATCAACTTCTTACAATTTTTACTAATTCAAAATTAAAGATATTAATGGTTAAAGTAGTGTATTAAAGATCGCGTAAAATGCAAGTGAGTAGAATTTAGAGAAACTGAGGGTGTATAAATTATAAAAAAGTTCATATTCATACGTACATTGAGACGTTTCTAACAAGCTTCTTAATTATATGACTATTTTTAATCTTGAGTAAAACGCAAACACTAGTCAAAATGTATGTGAATAGTGCAAAAATCAAACCGAAGTTCTTCAGATTAAAAAAAAAAAAAAAAAAAGCTTATATGAGGTCAGCTTCAAAGGTTGACTGGTAGGCTTTTCAATAAACAAGTAGAATTGACAAGTTGGTTAATCCAGATAATGTTAGGAACTCTTTTTCTAATGATTTATATGCGATGCTAGTCCTAGTCGCCAAACAATGATGAGATGCGATTTGTAGTGGTCTTCATCATATAATTTAATGCGTTACAAATGATCAAAGTGGACACACACAGTACATTTAGCAAGGGAGCATGGGCCACTTATATAATTTGCTCACTTCAAGTTGAGTTGAGTAGTACTAGTACTACTACGTATTTTTTTTATCATACCATTACCTTTTTTTTTTTTTTTTTTTTTTTTTTTTGAAGGGATCATACCATTACCTTTTAGTTCTACGACAATTGCTTTTGGTGTTTTAGCATGCGTTTCAACATATTATAGGCTTATAGCTGTCTACTATTGCACCAAGTGTACAAATATTGCTAAACTAATCCCCGTTCTCTTAATGTTGTACCATTTGTATTTTAAACGCTATTTAATTACACAGACTTTCAATAACATATTGTGATTTATAGTATAGGTAAGAAAAAGATATAATCATATGTAAATTTGTTTAATATCAATTTTTTTTTTATAACTTGTTTACTCATATACATTTTTAATGTTGAATATATGTATTGGGATGCATAAACCCCCATAGTACAATATTTGGGGATCAAAGGAAGTACTTGTAGGAGTGATCAAAATTTTGCTATCATTTCATAGGAATTGCAAAATGAAACTTCTCGTGAAAATTTTAATTCTTGTGTGAACCAAACAAGCACATTATGGTTGTATGAGAGCTCAACTGCATCGGCTATATGCATACTAGGGAGAACCTTAGCTCCTAATTAAGTGAAGAGTAAGTTGGAATAGTGTTTATATTCCAAACAGAAAAAACGTACGGCTTTTGAAAATGGAAGTATTCCTTAATACTTCAGTTAAGTAATGAGCATCCAATTCAACTACCTTAAACCATAACATATTCATCTGAATTCTTTCTTCTCTTGTATTATAAGCTTGAAACCTTGAACAAATATTCTGAATATCATTAGTAAACTTTTGACCACAAACATTAAATAAAATTAGCACAACAAAATCTAGTGCTAAGGCTGACTTATGTTAGACTAAGAGAGGGTCCAAATTCCACGGACAACATAAACTTTCTGTATTTTCTATATTATCATTTCACTATATATGGAAGCCGTATAGATCAAAGTCATCTTTGTGCATTTTCATAAAGAATACAACTTCCCATCTCAGATTCCCTACTAAAGCTGATTCCTTTATCACAAACTTATAAAAAATTATTTAACTTTTTAAAGTTAGAAATTTTTTTAAAATTTTTAAAAAACATTTATGTCTTTTAGCAATATATATTCTCCTTTTGGAAATATACCCCACAATAATAAAGAAATTAAATATGAAATTTTTTTAAAAAAAAATTATATCAATGGTGTATGGTGCCCCTATCCTGTTTGAAGTGTTCAGCCAGGTCAATGATCTTCCGTTGACTCGACCTTAGGAAGCTACTATAGGACAGTAAGATACAACATGAGACTGTATTTCGAAATATAATGGTTCAACATAAAAGTCTATACACCTGTTGTATGCACGACTTACTGACTACTACTATTCATATTTACGCGAGCACTTCCAAATATGTAATCCTGTCAAAAGTTTTCAAAATATGTCTTTTAGCACATATTGCTTTAAAATACTGCTTAGAAGATAGCTTGATTTAACATAGATAGCTAGAATAAGATATCTTAAGGTCTGATTCTGACAAACTTTGTAATATTATAATCATGCAGAGTACACACTTAAACCAGTGACCTCTACTTTTAGAAGAGGGGGCGTTTATAGGTACCAAATAGCATCAATTTGTAGCATTTCTTCCATAAAAATGTCATTAGTTTAAACTAATAATTAATTAAACTTCCACTTAAGAAGTTGAGGATTCAATTCATATTAAAGAAGGCCACCACTTCCACTGAAGTAGGTCCCAAATAGCATCCTAAAAGCTCAAGTGGTTTGTAATTTGTCTAATCAAACAATATTCTAAAGATGAAGATAACATGAAATTGTAAAAAAAAAATAATACTCTGTATTTGCAATGTGTCATGATAAGACTTGAGCTTAACAGAATCTGCATGAAAGTTTATACTACCTCCGTTAAATGTTATGTGCAACAAAATGGAAGTTTACGGTTGTCAATGCAAAAATTAAGGGGCAAAGATTAGAGAAAGTTTAAGGAACTTGTGGTATGTAATTAGGGTGGAGAGAGAATGTTTGGATAATTAATCAACCACCCACTGCCACCACCAAGACCAGCCAACACCACCCACACCGCCTTCACCAACACCACCGCCGCCTTCACCACCACCACTAACACCCCCACGAAACCACCACCATACCACTACCACCCCCACAAAACCACCACCACTACCAACCCCACGAAACCACCACCTTTACCATCCCCACAAAACCACCACCACCCTCACAAAAACCCACCATCCTCACGAAATCACCACTGTACCACCCACAAAAACCCAGGCCACCACCTCAAAACAACCCCTCATTCGTCTTCCCCTCCCTTTTTCGGCAGCCCCCTCCCCCGTCTTTCCCTCCTTTTTCCGGCAGCCTCCTCCCTAACCTAAAAACTCATAAATCTAACCCAAAAATCCCAAACCCAAAAACCCAATAATTGTCACCCAACACCCAGAAATTGTCACCCAAATCACCTAAAACCCACGCCCTAGAACCCTAACCAAGAAATCCGACCATCATCATACCTTCAATCAAAATCAAAACCCAGAAAATCGCAATCAAAACCCAGAAAATCGAAATCAAAACCCAGAAAATTGAAATAAAATCCAGAAAATCAAAACTCATAAAATCGAAATCAAAACCCAAAAAATCGAAATCAAAACCCAGAAAATCGAACAAAAGGAGATCCGGTCTCAAAAGATTGAATGAGGGAGATTATCAACTTCCCCTCACCGTCGTCGTCAGTGGCCATGTACGCCTCATGAAGATGAACAGAGAGTTGGTGGTTCCAAAAACTCATGAAGACGAAGAGGAGAGAGAAAGACGAAGAAGATGAAGATGAACTAGGGTTCATCTGGAAAAATCTGAAGAACTTGTGAGGAAGACCAGTCATCACATTAATTGTTGGTGGTTGGGATTGTGAGTAAATTGAGGGATTAATTAAATTAGGGAAATCTGATTAGTTTTAGGTTAATGTGATTAAATTAAGTTAAGGGCAAAATTAAGAAAATCAGAATTTTTAAGTAAGGGTAAATATATAATTTCGAGGGTTTTGTTTACTAAAAATAGAAAGAAAACAGAGAGTTGCACATAACCCTGATCATCCCGTTTTGGCAAAAGTTGCACATAACATTAAACGGAGGTAGTATTTTTTAAAAAAAAATTCATGATGAATGTTTAAGCCTAGACCAACCCACCATAAATACCCAGAGTTGCTCTTCTTTCATTGTATAAGCTTGTGTCATTTTCATTGTCAACAAAACCTTCAAAAGCCCTCCTCATCTTCCTTGTCTTTACAACTGTAATAAAGAGGGAGGGATAAGAAAAAAGCAACCGAGCGATCCTTTATTCAGTTTAGTTTGTCTTCTTTCTACCTCTGCATACTGTTGTCATCTCTTGTTTCGCCTAGGGCCCATAAAATATCAGAAACGACTCTGGTGTCTAAGGTAAGAATTCGACAGAGTTGTTCGCTTGCATATACTCCAAAACACAAACTCGACTTTCACTAGCTCCAAATATTCACAATAGCCATAGCTTTTTGCAAAACATAACAGCCTAGCTTTCCATTTCCTCCCATTCCCCTTACCTTCCTCCCAAAAAAAAAAAAAAAAACACAGTTGTTACATGTTCATTAGCACCCCTAGTAGCCGCATCTGAGACTAAAAAGTTACGAAAAGTTGTGGGGTATTTTCTTATAATAGCCACAAAAATCAGTATAAATAGCAGGGTTGTCATTGGCATTGTACTCTGATTATTTGTTCAGCCATTTTTGTCCATCCTCAAACTCACCCTTCCACGTACAGATTTAATAATCACTTATACTACGACATATAGTATAATTCGATAGTATACATATTTGCGGATATCAATCAGTATCACCATGAGTCACTCATACTCATTCTGCAAACACGCACAAACCCTCTTTCCTGGAGGGCTTAACTCGAGTTCTATGAACTTCCACAATAATCACAAGAATAAAGTGGTGTTTGTAATGGGTGCCACAGGTACTGGGAAGTCGAAACTTTCGATTGACTTGGCAATTCAACTTCAGGCTGAGATTATAAATTCTGATAAGATTCAAGTGTACATAGGGCTGGATATTGTCACGAACAAAGTGACAGAAGAAGAGTGTAGGGGTGTACCCCATCATCTGTTACGGATAATCGATCCTGATGTTGAATATAATGCTAATAATTTCCGGCGTGATGCCTTGCTTGCTATTGAATCCATCATCGAACAAGACAAGCTTCCGATTATAGCAGGTGGATCGAACTCGTTCATTGAGTCCCTAGTGAATGATCATCCTGACTTCACTTCAAAGTACGAGTGTTGCTTCCTTTGGGTTGACTTATCCCTACCTATTCTCCAATGCTTTGTATCAGAACGCGTTGATCAGATGGTTAAAGCAGGATTGGTGGATGAGGTAAGAGGAATATTCGACCCTGAAGCCGACTACACACAGGGAATACGACGGGCCATTGGTGTCCCTGAATTGGACAGTTTTCTTCGAGCAGAAGGGCAAAATGTGGACCCTGAAATGTTGGAGACTCTCCTCCAAGTAGCCATTGATGAAATCAAAGCCAATACGTGTAAGCTAGCTTGTCGACAACTGCAGAAAATCCATCGCTTAAGAGACTTCTGGGGATGGAACCTGCATCATATTGATGCTACAGAAGTATTTCTAAAGCAAGGAAAAGACGCTCAAGAAGCATGGCAGAGACTCGTTGTAGGTCCGAGTGCCATGATCGTGAGGCAATTCCTCAACAGAAACACCAGTGTTCAAAGTATTCCGAAAACATCAGGAACTACTGTCATACGTCGTGGATACTATGGAGGTCATACAGACGCTTACAAGAAAATGGGTAGAAACCTATTCTACTACGATGTGAACTCACTCTATCCATTCATTATAAAAAAAGGTCCCATGCCAGGAGGTAAGCCAGTCTGGGATGGTAATATGGTTGATAAGGACATAGACAGCCTATTTGGATTTATAGAGGCTTTTGTGTCATGCCCTTCTTCAGTCAAAAAACCTTTTCTCCCCGTTCAGGGAAAAGATGGTACACTTCTCTTCCCCACGGATGATTTTGTTGGTGTATACTATAGCGAGGAGTTAAAGTATGCAAGAGACATAGGCTACACTGTGATTCCAGAGTGCAGTACCTATAGCAGCCATGGCGACTGCATCTCACTAGACAACACCGTACGTTTATTATAAATATACAAACATATATTCAACACAACCCGTTTGCCGCCTTTACAGATTTGAACACTGCCTCATACAGAAAACAAAACAAAAATAAAAAAAAAAATAGTTCAAAATCTTTTCTTTTTGGGGGGGAGGGGGGCAATAGAAACGTTGCTATCAGGTTGTAAAGAGCCGTACCATTGGTATCAGTATAGAAAAACGGGAAGTCTGTGACGGCTACAACGGCGCACACGCACACGCACACGCGCACACAAAAATTCCGTACAGTTAAACTAAGTGGAGGTAGTAGGCCTACTCCAATATATCATAAGAGGAATCATCCAAATAAGACGTGTGTAGGAGCCCATACCAAATGTGAGGCGTTTTGGCTTTTTAATATGCCCATTCCTTTGCACTTTTTTGTCGTTTCATTTTATTTTTTTTTTTTTTTTTTGGGAACTAGAAAGTTTGTCAGCTTGCCATTTGTCTTGTTATTTCTTTAGACATGGGAATAGTTTGGGTTGAGCCGATGGTGTGCCCCCTTCATCCATATGATTGAGTTATGATTTGTTCTTTTCTACTTAGATAATTTATGTATTATGAATGAAATATTGAGATTTGTCCAACGTACGAAGTATATATCTTGCTCTCAAATCATAAATATGCATGAGCTCAATTGATTGTTCAATTTATTGTTTTAGAGATAAGAAAATTGAATAGATAAAATAGGCTTTCATCAATGAGTTTCAATTCGAACTTGGTTAAGAACGAAGCTTTTGGTGATACAATGGTAGTATCGTTAACTTTCCATCAACCCAGGTGTGGCTTCAAGATTTCTTAACCCCTCTCCCGGCCCCCATCCCCCCTACCCATCTAAGACCTAACTACCCATAATAAAGCGAAATTTTAACTAATTATTATTTCTAAAGTATATAATGATTTACACGAAACTGAATTTTTGTAAACCTCGAGTTTACCTACTATCATAGTGATTATTATTAGTGCCTAGTGATATTACTTATTAAGTTATTCCTTTCAACAAATTATACATTGTGTAGGATTAGGGCCACGTAACCTATTTACTCTTTAACCTTAGTGGCACCTGAGTAAATCCCACAATCTTGTTTTTATTTTAGTTCACTTTTTTTTTCCTTGTCCTATCTATATATGATTGAAGGCAAGTTTGACATCAACTACATTATCAAACCAACTGTCTATGACATTCCTACGATTTAATAATAGTTCCAAGACAGAATAGAATCTAAGATAGAAGTGGTCCTTAAGTCTCATCTTTTTTTCCCTTTTTTTTTTTTTTTTTTTTTGCAATGCATAGGACTTTTAAAGATGCAAAGAAATCACCTAGAATTTAATGTCCGTATTCCTTCAAGCCATTTGACTCATCTTTGTCACTGTTCAAAAGCTTGGATTTGATTCTTGATTTTCAGCTTTTCGCCATAGGTTTTATAACTGATTGAACCAAATAAGTCATGATTAAACTTGATCATCCCAAAAACTTATTTTTATGAACTAATAGCTTGGACATTTAATCAAATAGGCATAAATATGGGCTATAATTGTGACAAAGTCATGTACTACTTGCTCGATAGTCCATACCACATTGACATTGCAATAAAGTACGCATTGACTCATAATGACAATCTCAATTAATCTCACAAAGAGACCTCGTTTATATTGCAATAAACTCGCGTCAATTGTTTTGTATCTCACGACAATAAGACCTCGTTTAGTTCACATAGGAAGTTCTTTCTATGGGAATTTATATTTAATGGGAATTTTTTTTTCCTTATGATTTTCCTAGGAATTAAGTTAAATTGTTTAGTTGATACTATAGGAAATTGAATTTCCGGAATTCAACTCACCAAGGGGAGAGTTGGTGAGTAATTTCCCATGGTTTGTGGGAATTTTAGAATTTGTATTTCCCTTAAAATTGTTATTTCTCATGTTTACCTTATTTCCCTCCAACCAAATACTACTTGATTTTAATACTTCCTAGAAAATTCTAATTTTCAGGGAAATTATATTTCAAGTTCCAACCAAAACACCTAAGAATAAAAATAACATACAAAACTTTAAAAAAAAAAATACAAAACAATAATAATTGAGAGTTTCCTAGAGGTAAGGTCATATATGATGTGTCCACCACCGTATTGGCCTACACAATCTCTCTTAAATATCACATTCCAAAAGTAAAATCTAATGTCAACCAGTAAAAATGATTCATTTGATTTGAAATTGACGCGAATAAGCCAAATGATGTATTTATTGACTTATTGTGAATCAGACAGAGAACAGGACGTTAGATATCTTTAGTCTACAATCACACTAAATTGATTTATTTTTCATGTAAGCCAAAGCTAGTATATTGCAAAGGACAATAATGATGTTTATTGAAACTTCACCAATTTTAGTATGATTGTGTATGTTTAATTGCCATTTATTTATACTACCCCTTTTTTATTATGGGCAACAAAAGAATATTTTATATCTCACAAATAATTATTTTTTGTTGCTCATAATAAAAAACGGAGGTAGTAATTATCACATACCATATTCTTTTCATACAATTCTTAATTTTATGGACAATAAATGAATATTTTATAAAAAAAACATGATGATGAATTACTAACAGATATATATCAAACCTATGATCGATCGAGTAGTTCCATCATGTACAATATTTTCCAACAGAACAAGTAAGACAGAAGAATGAAAATAACAGTTCTTCTACCATGTAATAGTTTCAGGGTTCTAGAATTTCAGAAGATGTTTAAGAGATTTGGGCGGCTAGAAAAGAAAGAAAAGAAAAATGATCATGCGGTCCATAAAGCCATATGAATCCAAACTTTAAATGATATGTTCTTCATATCTCGCACCATTTCACTTCGTATCTAGAAGGGATTTTCATGGACCCGCAATATCAAGACATTTCTTTTGTTTTGAACCTTTGACTAAAATTAGAGAAAATACAACCTTATCACCTTGATAATTAAGTGGTAAAATTGTAAATAAATCAATTATTTTATATTAAATATGTGTTTTACACTTGTTAATATAATTACGAAAATGTCTAACTAAACATTTTTATTGATTTATTTACGGTTTTGCCATATTGATAAACAAATTTTGTATATTTTCTTGTATTTTTTTTATAGAAAATATACAAGAATATGAAGAACATAAGAAGAGAGCAAAAATCAAACTACTTAAAATTGAAATCCGAACTGCAAAAATTTTTAGCCAAAAATAATAAGAGGAGAGTTAGTCATGAAATATGATAAACATTATATTAAAAAAAATTATAGAAGAAATCTAGAAAAAAAATAATAATTTGAATTTAAGAACATGAAGAACAAGAACATTAGAAGAGAGAGAAGAAAAAAAATTAGACAAAAAAAATCAGCCAAAAAAATGAGAGGGGAGAGAATGGGTGGTTGGGAATATGGGTGTGTAGACACCTGATTGTGTCTCCCCAAAAATCAAACCCAGTGATAAAAACCTTTCACGTCTTTGATTAACGAGTTCGGTGAAGAGTTGAGGAGTGTCGTGAAGTATCCTTAAGCCTTGACTATATTCCTAACCTTTCCTAAAATGTTTTAATCCTAAATAATTTATTTTGTGGCTTTAGAACCAAAATTATTCATTTCGTATCCTTAAAATCATTCATTTCGTGTCTAATCCATAAAAACGTCCAAACCAGATTGTTTTGGTCCATGATCCTGGTCCAATTGTTTCTTAGTTGGATGGGGCTTTAAAAGAGTTTTCCAACGATATATTATAAGCCCAAATCCGACTTATAACAAATAAGTTATGACCAAAATACTAAACCAAGTCAAAACCGGACCTAGGTCCATCTTACCTACAACCCAATGATCATGTGAGGGTCCAAATACCTTATTTTCAATCCTAAACCAATTAGGATTCATTACAAGCTTCTAGAATCCTCTAGAAAGTTCTAATTTATCTTTCCGAAAAGATAAAGATCAAAGAGTCCAAAGTCGAATAAAACGTCTCTTTTTTTATAATCCTAATCCCGGTCAAAATAGAAGACGTACGGAAATTTCGTAAACCAAATTATATTGGAAATCGAACTTCGTACGGATTCTTATCTTTAGAAAACCATCGCAGAACAACAAAACCATTGCGCCGCGATGGACCTTGTCGCGCCGCGGTAGGTCTATCGCACCGCGATGAAACCTGTTTTATTCCGTTTCAAATTCTGATCTTCGATCGTTTCGACTCTTTATTTTCCTTATAAATAGAGGTCGTTTTCCTCATTTTCAAATCAGCTAGAACCATCAATCAATTAGCTATAATCATATAGCTCCAATCATCATCAATCCTTATCAATCATCCATGTTCTTAGCCTAAACACATCCTTGTTACATTGAAACAATACCTCCTTCACAAGATTCGAATACTCTAAGTCATCTTCGACGTTGCCTTTGACCTCGACGTGAAAAGTTGATAGTTCTTAGGGTTTGGTCCCAAGTCTATATTTCAATTCATATTCGATTTATTTACTTTATTGATTTAACTTTCTTAAAGTTTACTAACGTGTGTATTGTTTTAATAGCAAGAAGTTTAAGACATCAACGCGAGTAATTCGATCACCCTCATTATTATTCTTTGATTTTGGAGTAGAAATCATGTTTATAATATTATGTTAATTCCTAGTATCATGCTTAGGATGTTATTAATTCCTAATATCATGTTAGGATGTTATTTTAATTTCTAGTGTCATGGTAGGATGCTTTTATATTAATTTTAGTATCATGTTTAGGATAATGCTTTGATTTTATTATTAGTGACATTTTAGGATTTGTTATTAATCCGTTTAGTACCATGCCTAGTGTAGGCGTCATTCGAAGCGCGCCTACTTAAGCATGTTATGAAAATGCTTGACAATCATAGGAAGTAGGAATTTACATTATACAATTAGGGACAAGGAAAGTAGGGAGCCGCTAACAAATTTTTAAGGAACTTGTAAACCCTTCACGGATCATTTAAGGCAACCACGAATAAGGAACAACAATAGGCAACAACGATTGACCCGTGAAGGTTACACCCCATTCATAATCCATGAGATTACTAACGCCATATGATTCGGAACCACGAAAGGAGGATCGGGGATGATGGTACGAAGTGAGTCATGGAGTCACATTCGCCTGTATTGGCCTCTACTCAACTCTTATAGTAAAAAGTAATTCCTGCAATCTTAAAGGCATGCAAACAATGATTCAATTTTCTCCAAACTATTATTAAGCTAAATTGGTTGAATATTAATGCACAAATAATTCTAAAATATTAGTGATCACTTGATTAAGTAACAAGATTAAAAAGGAACCTAAACCGATCGTCCAAATTATCTTATTAATCGTTATATTCAATTACATATTTCCTTTTAAACATGTAATATGGTGATCAACAATAACAATAGAATAAACAATAATATTTGAAGCAATTTGGCCATAATAACATTAGTCAAATTAAATCATAATAATAACCCTAATCATGATACTAGCAATAAGAATAATAATAAGAGTAATTAAATGAATTAGTTACTCACGTTCTACGCTTCTTTAAATTGCTACATCATGAATTAATTAAAACGTTAGCAACTTCAAAGAATAATAAATAAAATTGAAATAAGATTAAAGGAAAATGGAGTTGATTTGGTCCAAACCCTCAATTGGTTCTACCTTTCACACCTTGGTTTAAGTATGGAACTTCGGGTGTTGTATGGAATCCTTGGAGAGCTTAGGGAAGGAATGGCGTAATTAAGAGAATAGGTTTAAGGCTTAGAATATGAGAGAGAGAGAGAGAGATTAGAATGTGCGTTGGTGCCCCGAAACTGA